ATTACTGAGTAGATTGTAAATATGCAGATATATTAATAAAAAAATAAAAAAAAAAAAAATATTTTTGTGTTGCCTGCCCGTTTTAGTTTCTCGATCTACCGATCAATGACGTCAGTTTACTGTAATTCGATACCTTGCTGTCATTGGTTTTAAATTCGTTTCCTTTATCGATAAGCATTTAGATATTACCATTTATGGTATTGACATATCCATCGGCTCTCGTGGTTGGTTGGAATTATTCGTCGTCGGTTGCATCGTGACCGGAAACAAGAAAGTTAGCGTCTTTTTTTCTCGCCATCTGCTTTAGAAAGACGGTCGATTTATGATCCCGAGTTGGGGGTGCTTGTTATATCTTCCAGTGGTTGATTTTGGATCGAACACCCTTGTGAAAGCATCTTTTAACCAAGTCAACCCAAATTAATGTTTGCACCAAGCAGTTTCGTTTTAATGCTTGGGGACAAACTTCCGTAAGGAATTTTTTTTTGTACTGGAGAAATTTCAAGCCACCTTAATCGTAAGTTATACTCCGTGTGATCGAATCCACTTTACCTTCTTTCTATTTCTAGGGGGAATCCATCGTATTTATGGTATAAGAAGGCTACCTTACTTTAACGAAGTTCTTTTTTTTTGTGTACTCTCTGCTTTAAGAGGTTAGCGCATTATATTTGGTTAACCGTGGCCATAATTACATTATATTTTAGAGTCCTTGTAAGGAGTCGAAGTCCAACGATTCCGTAGCTTCTACTTACTCTCTAAGCGAAACACATCTACGTTAAACGACAACATGCAGGAGTTCCGTGTACTGTAAAATCTGCCATTGAAACGTTACTATCTCTAAGGCGCAGCCAAACAGATACTGCGGACACCAACCCTTTTGACACCTGTTGCGGTACATAGAAAACCGTTAGCCGTTTACACGTACACCAGGAATCTTAGGAACCAGAGACCTACCTATCGTAGTGGTGATATCTTATTATTGTTTAAACTATTGCCTTTGTGTATTTGCATTTCATTTAACCCATACTTATGTGGTAAATGTTAACTGGCCGAACACTAGAGCCACCCATATTACTCTTAATTAGTACGCTTGAACTTGAAAGGGAATAATTTGCTTTAATTAACTGCATTTACTCATGTGAAGTAAATCACCTGTGAAGTACAGAGCAGAGCTCTATACTATGATTTAAACTTCGATACCCTACAAGCTACCAATCAAGGTATTCAATCCACTGTCAATTTAACCCATTAAACTCAATCACTGTGCAACGGTAGTGGGTGTTCTATACCTACTTTCAGGATTTTTGGTGTGAACTAGTTTCAGCTACTAAATTTATGTAATATTTCATTGGGGGAATTTTATGTAAACCTTGGAATTTGGGATAATTATTTCAACACTTATACTTGGGGTTGTTTAGTTTTTACATAACGTGTTTATTATACTTTATTGATTTTTGATTCCCATTTGGGGAACATAACTTCTGTGTTGTGGTTACGTATGCAGGTGCAATTGCACACAATAAACACTTATTTTTGTGGGTTATCAGTTGCCTACTTTAAAGCTAAAGCTACCTTTCCTAGTTCCGGTAGTGGCAAGCGAAACTTAACTTGGAATTAGGTGGCGCCCAAGAGATTTTAAGTGAAGCGACCAAAAGGAAGTACTGACGACCTAGGCTGGACCGAGGAGTTATAAGTGCAAATTACCAATTAAGTTAATTCTGTTACCCACAACCCTGTACATTAGTCTTTCTCTCTCCGCTGTTTGCTATTTGGTCAACAGAGCTAGCTGGCCGGTCAGCGGCGTGTGTTTTATTTATGAAGCACATGGTATTTTTGTAGTGCCTTGCATTTTGCTGCTTGCGCGTTATATTGCGTACAGCTGCTGGCCAAAATGCGGATTATTAGCGTAGCCGTTCTTCAGATTTGCTGGGTAAAAAACTGCCGTTAACCGCGCCCGAAGTTTTGACAGCGCATTTTGAATCAGATAGAGAATAATTCGAATCAAATTTTCTCAATTGAATGTACCTATTCTATCTACTGTATTATATTAAGCCTCCCGTAGTATCTTTTCCATTGTGACATTATAACTATTATCCTTCCTCTGAATTCAAATAAATAATGCAAAAAGTCGCATCAATTTAATGAACGATAGAAAAAAAAAGCATACACGTTCGGATTTGAACCTGGGTTGTCGCGATGTAAGCCAACGGTTACACCATCTGCGCCAAGGGGCGCATTTAAGCATTCCGTATGTATTTCACACCTAGGGTGATGCGATTGATCAATTTCAAGTCTGCGGCTAATCAGCGCCAAGAGTGCGAAACGCACATACGGAATGCCATTCAGTGCGAAACTCAGACACGGAATGCTCAAGCGCAAAATGAGCATGATTCTTGTTATCAGTCACTGTTTATGTGAATATTATAAGCTGCTAAGTTCTCAAAAATGACTTTGCTTAAAACCTTGAAAGTGAGTGAGTGAGAACAGAAACGAGCGCGAAATTTGACGGCAAACGTAAAAGTCAATAAGCCCAATGCCATTAAACATTGCACACAATACTATACTTAAATACTTATTATTATTTACTGAGGTGAGGTGTGAGGTAACTAAATGTGTATAAACAAAGAAATATGATAGATAATAATTATTAAATAAGGTTTCTTTACGTTTGAATTTTTTTTTAATTTAAGCTTCCTATGAAGCCATATTTTTTACTCATATAATTGAAGATTTGAAAAATCAAAACATCATATTCCTGAGCATTATGTGCCTGTGTTTCGCACCAAATGGCATTCCGTATATCCGTCTCGCACTCTTGATGTTGATTGGCTGCAGACTTGAAATTGACCAATTGCATCACCCTAGGTGCGAAATACATATACGGAATGCTTAAATGCCAACGGGACGTATGTTTACGTATACTTATACGGATATAAGCGGTTTCAAAATAATCACCATCCCTAGATCCATACGCCACCTGTAGGTAGCAGCTAAGCGAAGGACTACGAGTTTGACGACACGTAGAGCCTCATCTAAAACAACAGAATTTCCCGACCTGTGTATACGACCGTGGCTTTGGTCATAACGCGTTGTGTGTGTTATTTTCGCTCATTGGCGTTTTCGATATTTGTGCGTAACATATACACCAAAACTTCACATTTCTTTTTTGAAGTAAACTAATGTAACGAACGAAAACCCCAAGCTAAAAATTAAGTAATCGAGATTAATCAATACTGAATGGATGTTAGTTTGAGGCCATTCCCTACAGGGACCATATAAATGCGATTTCCTACGTCCACAGTTTGTGATTGCAATTTAGCGTGGCTCACGGCTATTTTAGCCAAGTAAATACAATTATCTCCAGTTCTATATGAGAAAAGTAACAATATTTATTTTTCTTGAAGGTATGTTCCGGAAGTCCGGGAGGACAAAAGCTAACGGCCGACCAGTATCGAGCTTGCATCCGTTCCAGAGCACTGAACGAGGCATCGCACGCCCAGCTAGGATTCTTAGCATTTCGAGATGATATCGCAGCTAACAGCAATTCGGCGAAGTATCCCCCGGCACTTGGTCCGCCTCTACACTACCCCAAGAAAGCCAAATACGTAACCTGAGAATCGACGCGGAAGTTAGAGTTTTAGTGTACAATAAAAATGAACTTTTTTAAATACCATCCCGTGTGAAGGTGCTACGAATATGAAATATGTGAGTTGTTTTCATGTGATATATGAAGCCATTGCCGAAAAGTATTCTTTAACAATACGGTTATGTTTCGTGCTTAAGTTTATTTAAATTTTTATGTAGATCGTTGTACGACTGCCCATTATAACACATCGAATATTCAGCCATTGTGATTAAGATGATTAGAGACAAGCACATTATATTAGAAAAATTTATAAATCGTTATTATTTTGTTAAGGCGTAACATGAACTGGGGTTAGCTTAGGGTTCACTTTCAATTAGGGAAGAAAAGAGAATCTTTCTTTTATTGTTTTATCACAATATTTTGAATCTATTTTTACCAAAACGTTATACTCGTACCCTGTTGCAAAAATACTGCAATACTATGATCTATTTCCCTACTCTGTGAATCAATTCTTAATAACACCACAGAGTATATAACGTAGTATACTCTTTGATAACCAAAGAATACTCTTTGATAACACACTCAATACAAATATGTTAAACTAAACTGTCCGTGAGAAAAAATAAACTACAATGGGACGAAACGAAAATATCCCAAAATCTCCGACTATGTGAATTATGCCTATGTGCTTTATTGCGATATCCGTATTGCCCAAATATTTGATTGACCGAATACGTTTATGAAAGATCTTTATTCGCCTATATAAATATGAGGGATGCCCAATCATTCAAGGAATTTATTTGAATTATAAACACGAACCTATAGTAGTAGAAAGTAGAACGTTTAAGTTATCATTATAAGATTGTCCAGGCCGCGGTCTAATGCATTGATGTTGTTGTGTGTACGCCCGTACAGTACACTTCACGTTGTACCCAACACTCGATGTAGCATTCGCTTAATAAAGTAAGAAGCAGCGCAGTCGCTGGCATTTTACTTGTACTATTTATTTGTATTATTAGTGTGTCAAAATGCAGGTTTTTAAAGTAATAGGTTACACGTCACGACGTCACCGGAATTAACCTTGTCGGTATAGGCAAACTTGCGATCAAAAATGAATTAAATTGGCCGCACTTTGGCCCTAAACTTGGTGTAAAGCCGATTTTAAAAACTTCAACTAAACGTAGTTCCACTTTCAACGTGGCAAAAGGAGGCGCTTTTTTCTGGACGTCCTATTTAAGAAGAAACCCTTCTTCTAAAAATCAAAAATATAACAACCAATCATACGCAGTTGACAACAAAGACCTCCCTCAACGTACGATAATAACTGAAAAAATAGAGGTCCAATAATTTTTAGTATTCGATTTGTTATCAGACATTAAGAGATAAATTGTAACGTTAATCTCATTAAATCCTTGTATGTTAATTGTGTTGTCCCTTTCCTATTTTGAATGTTTCGTGAAGTTTACCCCTAATCCATTTGATAAATCCCGGTCACATTCCTTTCCCCTTATCTGTGTCACATTTTTGCCCGTGGGTCAAGAGCATTCTGCATTAAGTATTAGAATCAAGCACACGATTTTTGCCACTTTTCGCAATTATTATAAACTTGCATTGAATACCTTGATTAAGGATTAATAATTTTGGAAAGTTGGCTCAGTAGTTGCTACCCTTTAGTAGTATTTTTGGTAGAGCTATATTTCGCTTCGACGGATTAAATATCGGTGCACATGTTAAGAAGCTCGTAACACCTGCGAGGTAAATATTTAATAACCTGTTCCACATTTAGTTGACTTACCTTTTAGCTTCTTTTTTATACGCTGAATATCCAACGACATTTAACATCTCTCGGCTGATCAACAAACCCTTAGGCATATCTGATCCTCTATCTGGCCGCTACAACATTTGATAAGAAGAGTAGGAGGCTGCAGATAAAGCTTACCCCTCGATTTAGTACCATCTGCTAAGGTGATCAGCCAATAAAGGTCAGAAGTTTCCTGTTTGTGTCGTCTATTGTTCCCATTTCGTGTCTTCCTATTTACCAATGTTAATGTTTATGTAAATTTCAATTATAACGTACCTGTTTTTAAGAGGTTGTGTCAAGGTACACAAAACTACAACTTTTATATAGTCATCCGTCTGAACTACTGCGACTCATTCGAACGTATAATAGTCAAATCACCTACTTGTGAAGCGTCAACAAGAGTTTTGCTTTGCATTAGCATACCCTAGGTTAGGTGACATATTGGGTAGCAAAGATAAAAGAAAGATCTTTCTCGTATCCCCTTGTGCCCTTGCAGTACAGTAACTATTTTTTATAGAACCTTGTGTAGCCCGTTGCCTCCTGATGTATCACTCCTCATTTAAACTAGGGAATTTATTTGCCAATATAAAAACCCTCCCGTGTATTGTTGTTTTATTTCTTGTTTGTAATAACCGAGTTGTCCTACAAACAATTGTTTTTAGAGCGGAGACAGTCACCACGATAACTGAATTACTCGATATTGTACGCTCTTGGCGCCCTGATCCTTTCCACCCTATAATTAAACCCATACCTGCTAGCTTGGGGAGTAACAGTTACTTTAGATCAAGATCCCTCGGATTGTCCTTGTCCCTTATTTGTAGATTTTGTAATTCCTCCCGTTGCAAAATCCAAACAAAAATTCTAGGAAAAATAAAATTTCATCTCTCTTAACTACACAGAAAAGGTGATAAATCGCATCCACCTGTCAATTAAATTAAGTTTTTACATTTGATAACAGACATAAACCGAACAAAATTGCCGGAAATTCTACGTTAAATAAAATAAAAATGTAAACAAAATCAACCTTGACCGCTTTCTCGTATACCATAATAATCTCCATGCCGTTACATAGACCAACAACAAATTAATAAAATTTAATTACAAAAGTTAATTACATAAAAAGGAGACCGCCCTTGTCCATCTTAATTAAGATGTCCGAAAATTTCATCCTGCCAGACAAAATAAACACAGCAATATAAATATTCAGCGGCTCGGTTTTGCCTAACCCATATTAATCGCCGAAGAACTGTTGAAATTATGAATCATAATACTTACCAATATATTAATATATATATGACTTAAACCTAGACACAAACAATTATCTGTTAATTTAGGCTCTCTAGGCGTCGTTAAATCAAGTGTATAACATGATTAGGGGCAAGACTATAGAAACCGTTGCTGTTCAGTCATGCAAGTTGCGCGTTTTGCTGGTGGGAATGTGAACCGCGCACACCTCATAGAATGATGCGTTTTTTTTTAAATCGAACATAGCGAAATTACATTACATACAAAAGCGCATGTTTTCTAGAATAGAGTAATTGCTGATGACAACTAAGTCACCTACCCAGATGCCACTGATTATTAGACTGCTACCTTTCCATACGGTAAGTAAATACACAACGATCTACTTCCGATGCTTGACAGTCTAATAAGTAATAAATATAATAATAAATCGGACAGCTTTTGACACCAACCTACGACATGCATTTTTTAATCCCTTAAATACCTTTCGTAAAACACCTTAGACCGGACTGCTAATTGTAACTAAAATATGGTCAAGGACATCGCCTGGGTATGTGAGTTTCAGGGTAAACGAATCTGTACGAAGCTGTCCGATTAGAAACGATTTGACACTGTTAACCTATAAATTCACAAACCTCTTCTTATTTGTGGACGTATAGAAGATGATCAAGAGTATATTTAAGACTACGGTGCCCTCTATCCGTGACCACCCATTTTGTATTGAAAGCATAGGGCTAATAGCAGTCCATGTACTACTATATGGTCTAAGTAAAACACACACGTGGTCGGTACCATCCTCACAAACTTCAGGTGGTTGCTTGTAGGCAGGGGTATAACTCGCCATGTAGATACGCACACGTAGTGTCCCAATTATGAGGTAACATATTCAGATTCTCGTTGATATATGAGTTATTTTCAAAATTTTTACAAAAATTGGGTTTTTTTCATCCCAGAAATGGGCAACGATGCCGCCATTTAACATACACTGTATCCCTCGACGTTACGGAGTTCCCAATGATGGGCCACGAATTTGTACCACTCTGTATAAAACTCTACAACTAAAACGATCGGAGCTGCCTTGACATGAACGTGACGAAGAAAATAGAGTTTTACTTTGAAAGGGCAAACAATGGTAACTAATTCCTTAAATGATTTGATATCACCTCATAAAATAAATACAAATCAGCCTTAGAGTGGACACTGGGCAGGTCATTTTTTTCAAAAAAATTAGGCTGGTACATATAATTGATTGATTTCTGAAAAGCCTGGATTACATATTCGCAACTCTGTTACATGTTTTTATCATTTGTAAATGTTTACAAAAATGTGTACAAAATCCTTGCAAATGAAAGTAGGTAAATAAATCGTTTCGTTTAATGATAAACTAATCCTTCACGATTGTTAATTTATTATTGTGAGCCCAGACAGAAAACCCCTATTCATGTTTTACGTTGCTGGTGGTGTTACCTCTATGGTTTTTATTTGTAGGTGATCATTTCTGACTTTTACAGTTAGGAAAAATTTATTTAAAAGTACTTTTTTGAGAGAACGTGAAAAGATTAAATTTTGTTACTTAAAGAAAGAAAATAAAATAAAGTATTTGTAACGAAGAGATCTTGCTTTTTCCCTATCCGTAGATCATCGCGAAGGTGGGCCGGTAAGTATTAAAGGAATGTTATGTTTAGTGTGAAACAAAGGCGTGATGTAAGTAAGGAATTGGTCTATTCTCATAAAAAGTTGTGAATGTAATTGGTTTGCATTTAAAATTCGTGATTAATGCTCCCCAGTAAGTCTGGAAACGGAAAATCTTTTTGGAATGGCTTTGAAAACGGCCAAATAAATTAAATAACGGGTAGGAAAAATAAATCTCTAAATTTTTAATTAAAACTTTATTTGAGATAGAATTTCAAGTCATAATTCAAAATTACGATGTCGGTGTCGTCTACTTTTTATTAAATTTTACACTTTGATGAAACAAAGCGCTCTGCTAGGCACAGTTCTTTATTGCGGTCTCGGGAACATACTCTAACTTTAACTATGTTTGTTTGTTAAAAATAAAATACGCGACGCTCCACCGAATATTTTGTGGATCGTTAGTTGGGCGCGCTTCTAAATCTAATATCGAGGGTTTATATAGGGGGAGAAATAAGAATGAGCTTCTAAAATGGGCTGCCTGACTAGTTATACTTTAAAACGGGATTTTTTTTTGCTGCATCCCCGTTTCACTGGCATTATAAAAAGCATTCTCTAAATGTACGTGGTACTTTAATTGACGTGGATTTGAAGGAGGAGCGTGCAATGTGCATGTAGCTAGCAATGCACTGGAAGGCGACTAGAATTTCTAGTTTATAAAACTAGATTAAGCTCTCAAAGTGAAATTAAGTAACACAATACAAACACGTAACTCCATACTCGTGGTGATTTGATTGACGCACCTTACGGATTTCTCATATGTGATTATACAAATTATTTTAATAAAATGTATGAATGTTTGAAAACTAAAATTTGCGCTTTTAAAAATCCGATACAACTGAATACCGAACGATCCTCGAGGTTTTCAATTTTTCACACATAATATATCATGTTTACAATATAAGTACGTTAAGAAGTTGATTCTATACCACCAGATCAGCATAGCTTGTAAAACAAATTTTTGGAAGCGGCATTAGTTTTACTTGCCTATAGGTATACAAAATTTCATTTAAATATATTAACAAATAAAACAAGTGCAAATTGTGCACAACCCTTGTGCAGGTAAAGCGCATTTTTTAAACACCCCTACGAAATTTCCTCCATAAATAAGAAAGTTGGCAGTGCATATCCTACACAAAACCAAATTTGGAAAATGGCGCTACATTTGCTTTTATTCTAAGTGGCTATGTATGAAATTTCATTTAAATCCCTCCATAAATAAGAAAGTTAACACTGCGCATGCGCAAAACCAAATTTTGAAACTGGCGTTATATTTGCCTTTATTCCAAGTGGCTATGTATCAAATTTTATTTAAATGCCCAATGGTTATATTTCTTCCAAACGTCCCAATCGCCCTTGTAGGTACTTTCCTTTGACAATTCACTCTTAAGATATAAGGAATTATAACCGATCACGACAAGGGATCGAGGAGGAGGACTATGGTGAGTATAAATTTATTCCTTTCGTTGAGACCTTTCATTAGAGTACCATGAAGGATAAACTTATTTCCACTCCTCCCCCCCCTTCCCCTCCACCCCGTACTTTGATAAGAGCACAAACCAATTTATTTCGATGAGACCTTTCATTAGAATACCATGAAGGGTTGAACATGTGATTACCCCTCCCTTTATTCTCTAAAGTTTAACTTGGCACCACCACCACTAAAGGCATGCGATGCAAAATCTGAGACCAATTGGGTGTCGTAAAAGTTATGCACGTTTTACTTTCAAATACAGCATCTCAGGAAATAATTCGTGGGGGGGCCTCCCTTTTAGACAGCAAAATTTGATATCCGTTTGGCACACATTCAAGCTATAGGCTACCTACTGCAAAAAATTCCAGGACTCTAGGACCACTCCCCTAGAAGTAGTTCAAAACGGTAGAAGTGGGTCCGGACGGACGGACAAAACGCAAACAATAGCACATTGTTTTTAATTCTTAAAAAATGCGCTAAAAATTAGGATTGCGCAAATACAAAAGTTGGAATGCGCATGCGCAGTATTTTTTGCATCTGAACAGTTGCCTAAAGTTTAAGGAATATTGACTAAAGCCCCCCATTCATACGCGAGCGCTGTCCGCCAACATGGTTGCGCTCGCTGTATATTCGTTGGTGTGTGGCTGGCGCCAACACGAGCGCAACCATGCTCGGCGGTTTTCTGTCCAACTTGAAATCCTTGTTGTGCTTTCAGTAGGCTCATCACTTGTTGTTACGTGTGTGGTGGCAACAGCGAACTTCTATTACAAATTCGAATAAAATGGCTCAAAAAATTAATAATGAGGTCGAATTTTTAACGGA